GGTAAGCTAGCACTACGTCCATTCCCCGTCCACCTTTACTCTTTTCTTTACAATAAGGCTTTCAAACGAGTCGTGGTTGTACGGCAGTGAAGCATCGGTGTTGAACACTGATGTCATGCTGTCGATGATGATGATGATGAAGTTGGCGCCTCAAAAAAACTGAGGGTGGGTGACAAAGTTTCGGTAGTCAATCGCTACTGTCCGTAACAACCATATCCAGTCTAAATTCCCCATCAAGTGTGGTCTCGAACACAGTTCGATGATGATGATGATGAAGTTGGCGCCTCAAAAAAACTGTTTAAGGGTGACAAAGTTTCGGTAGTCAATCGCTACTGTCCGTAACAACCATATCCAGTCTAAATTCCCCATCAAGTGTGGTCTCATCTGAACACAGTTTGAACACTTTTGCATTCATACCCCTGGAAACCACGATATGCGAGGCATTGGCTCGCCGTAACAGGGCATACATAGCACCATAAGGAACCGCCTCTGATGGTGCCGGGGCTAAAACCTATTGGGACGTAAGCATATAAGATGAACTAACGATCGACTTCCCGTTCGTGGTACTCGTTCACGGATGTTGCCACATGAAGTGCATAAACGGGACCAGAAAAAGGTATCCAGTCAAGCAACGACTGTTCTGACTGGTGACTTAGAACCAAATGGATCCCTGAAAAACCTGCCACAGCAGCCCGTACGCAACCGAACACAGAGTATTGAGTCAGTTAACTCAAAAAATCGTGAAATACTCTTTCCGATACCTGGCTGACATCATTTAAGTTCGATTCGACTGCAACTCTTCAAACAAAATGCCAGCAGAGAGAGGGGCGGCATTTCATAAGACCGTCTGTTGAAGAAGTCGAGAGAAGACATTCAGTCCAATCTCTCGCTGCTTGTGCATGGCTTGGTGCTCAAGCAGGACATTAGGTTGAAGAAAACTCTGGGACTACGCCCACTGATCGGTCCGAAGAAGGGCGAAACCGGTAGTCGGTTGTCGAAATTTACAGCCGGGATAAACCTATAGAATCTGCTGTGCTGCTCGTCCTTTAATTCAGGCAAGACGGGTAACCGATACTTTTCATTAGGCGGTAAAATCCCCTTGCTTCACCATCAAATAGGGGGTTTACTTGTACCCTGTTCGCTGGACCTTCGACATTGTCTACGAGCCCCCGAAATTACAAGTCTAGTCCATAAGGCATCAGTACTCTAGTCTAAGTTAGGTAGCTACGTAACAAGCAACTTTTGAGATACATTTAGACAGACATTCGGGTGACTTTATTGGCCAAGATCTAGTTCGTGGCGTAGCGGCCGGAAAGGGGTTGTGTGGACCACATCTTCGCACTTCGTCAAGTGTCAGAGCAACAAGATGCATATAGGGGTTCTACAATCTTGGTGTTCCTTGACTTCGAAAGTGTGTTCGATTACGTTAACCGGTCCATTCTTTTCAAAACGCTTACGTAGCGAAGTATGCTCCAGAAGTTTGTGGCTGCCAGGTGCCGATTGTATTCACACAACTGTTGGTGTGACGGTCTATGGAGAGCTCGAAAAGGTTTCCTACAAGCAATCATATCCGACAAGGTTGTCTAATCTATCCATTTTTGTTTATTCTCATCACTGGTGAATTAGTGGACCGAACACTCAAGGATCTCCAAAAACCAGGCCCTCAGAGCTCTCGAAGCGAGAACCTCCGCCGATAGTGACAGAGGAAGTCAACACACAAATATCAAGGCCATAATTGTTTATCAGTGTGCACATCAGAAAGGTATATCAACAGGTCTAAAAGGACAGCCTACAGTGCGAGCTTTATTCCTGTACAACTCCGAGAATTCTGAGACATCTTCATGCCTCTTTTCAGTTCTTCTCATAACTGTCTAGAATCGGCTAAAAATAGCCAGTTCCAAATGAAGTGGTAGGATAACGGGTAGCTGGTGAAACACACGACACATTACTCGAAGAACGCATCCAACACTGCAAGCTAAGGTGGTTGGGGCATGTGTTGCGCATGCCGAGTTACCGCCTCGAGCGCTATTTTCCATGCTTAATTTTGTGTGCCGGAAGTCAACAATCGGAATGAGTTTGACGCGGCAGAAGGAAATAAATGCTCCGAAACGTTCGGGAGTTATTTTTCTCCCAGAATGGAGTCAACGTGCCTCTCTCTCTCTCTCTCTGCTTGTCTGGAAGCTGAACAATATGACAGTCCATCGATATCAGTGGTGTCCAAGCTGTCAGTTACTATAAATACACTTCTAGGGATCCACAAGTTTATGGATGGTGTTACCGTGGTCAAATTTTTGGGGCACACCAAGCTAACTGTACAAGATTGAAAAGAACTGACCAGTGGAGAGAACTGAACATACTAGGAAACTTGTGCAGGTCTCAGAACGGAACCACGATTACTGTCAACCACAAAAGTCCAATACCACTCACAAATGACTAAGTGCAGCGTTACCCATCAAAAGGTTACTTCCAGAAAGACTGCTGTCCTAAAGGAACCGCAAAAGCGACCCCAGGTAACCATGACTGAATGCGATCTTTCCACCGAGAGAGGACACATCACAGGAAAGACTGCGTGGTTTTTCTTAGAGGTAATTGCTGTAGATCATACAAAACCAACTACGATATGTCGGATCATTGGTGTTGGACGGGCGGAGAAATTTATACAACTAACAAAGCAAAGATCTCGCTGAATATGTAGGTTCAATGTTATATCGGATAAATACCGACCAGGACGTTATCAAACGGGAAAACGGTATAAAATACCAACCTCCGAGATTTCGATCAGTAATGCGGAAATTCAATGGACAGAAGGCTTTGGATGAGATGATGCGAGCACCTTCTTTCAAGTTGGCAAAGCGCTGTTTCAACTGATGGTCAACTTCGGGACCAAAAGCAAAATTATTTGCAAACAATACAGTTGCTGATGTTATCCTCTCTTGGAAATCCGATGAAAGGAAATCCCCACGCTCCAACTGAAAAGAGAAAAATTCACAACAGGTGGGTTAAATTTCGAAGACGAAAACATAAAACGGCTGACGTGGTATACGATAAACCGGTCGAAGCACACCAAAAAATAACATTCTGGTGGTTACAAAAACGATAAGCGCAATGCCCGGAGTTTATCAAACAGGTCTCTACTGCGGCTTGCAATTACGATTTCACAATAGTAGGCAGTCCACTGAATTATTGTTCGGTATTAAGCCCAGCAAACTAGGCAGTGTGATGGAAAACAGGTTGCTGGCTTACTTGCTTACGAGTTCCCACATGACATATCGCGATGAAGATAGGAAAGCGGAAGTGAAACGGAAGATGTGTAGTCTGTGACTTACCTACGGCTACAATCGTTAGAAGTACCAATAACTGTGACAACTGGGATAACAAGGAAAATGAGGGTGAGCCTATTAACCCAACTGCGGTCAAGATGGTAAGCCGGCTGATGTCACCACAAAACGACAATTTGCACCTGATATGGACTAGCATAGCGCCAGGTTACCAACACCGACCAAACCGTAACCAGGCGACTGTGTTTGCCAGTCCTATAATGATTAATCAATCGGGGCCGAGATGGCTCAAGTAGTTAGAACACGAATAAACTGACCGGAAGGTCCGTGGTTCGAACCCGAACTCTGCCACTCGACTTCCTCTGTCTAGGCTTGGGCGACCTGGCAGTATCCTAGTCTTCGTGCCTCCTTGGTGTGGCATGGCAGCTAGGCCCGTCACGAAGAGACTGGACGATTCGCGCAACTCAGCGATCCATTGAACTATACTGGAGAGTGTCCCGCGATACTCACAGAGTCCCTCATACCAGGTTGGTCAATGGTTAGAGGTCTGACGAACAGTCTCCTGGCTCTCCAGGTTGGGGGTTGGAACATGTGGCGACTTGTTCCGTAGAAATGGTAAGGCATTTGCATTTCCCTCCAAACACCGCTGCCTTGCGGTTAGGCTTTTGAGCCAAAGGCTTTGGTTGAGGACCCTAATCATCCTCCTGTCTAGGTGTGGGCGCCCTGGCAGTATCCCAGCCCTCGTACAACCATGACCTACACAACTAACAATATTCTCATGCAGCTAGGAAAGCGGAAGGATAAGGAATGATAGAGGCTTGGTGCGAAGACTCCGTCCATCCGTAAGGAAAGAATAAGGCACCCGTGCCTTTAGAAAGCACCAAAATAATAAGAGCTGAACATCAGGTCTGAGCAAGACGCCAAAAACGACATCAACCCACTGTCCTTTGCGGCATAAGCCCATCACACAAAGACAGGTAAACTCTAGCTAATCAGCCTAACTAGGGAACGACAGCATAAGTGCTTTTTTTATCCTCAGCATTATTCAGTCAAAACCAACGGTCTACAGCATATATACTATAGAGGTATGCCCTCGACTTGCACATGGACACCGCAGAGAGTAGAGATATTCCATTCCTGGACAACGCACTTCTGTTGGATCTGAGGACCTTACATACTTATTTGGGGACCGGTAAGCTTCAATTTACCGATTTTTCTGGGCCTGATGCATTACTGTGTGGACCCGTGCGGTCCATTCCCGTAGCACGCTGTCTTTAGCTTTTCATGATATCAGGAAACTCCAGGGAATCGATAGATATATAAACTGCTGAGTTTTACCTTAAGGTCGCCAAGTCACTTTCGGAGATAACTAAGGGATTACCCTTAGGTTTGACGCACAACTCAGCCATCACACGCCGGTGATGCCCGATTGTTTGCGGGAATCAGCGAGTCACACACTCAGTGGGTGACACAAAAAGCTTTATGGCACCGAGATTCACTGTCCCCGTAGACTGTAGTATAGATATAGAGACACCTATGTAATACGTGGAGCATATGCGCTTTCCCACTTTCGAGCATACAACTACCGTAGACAAACGGTCGTCGATTTGATGCCAGCGCTCGTGCGCGGGAAACGCGTTTCCATCAAGTGCTGTGAGTTTACGTGGGACACGTGAGTCCGAATTCAAACCTGCGAACCGGGTAAGCTGGCATAAACTGTCTCAGAAGCGAGACCGACAGTCACACTAAGACTTATTAATTTAAACTTTGGTTGGTAGTTATACTCAACCAATACTATTTGAAAGGGAACGGAAGGCTCATCCTAAAAATGACCTTGCACAACGTGCGTAACGCCAACCTAGAGAATCCTATTGAAAACAGCAGAGGGCAGGTGTTACAGGAGTTAATTTTAGCACGAGCTAGTGGCACATTATATGCTGAAAGAACATAAGTTTACCACGGGTTGGGTCACCGTCCGTAAAAGAATTAAGGGATGAAATGAGCACTACGAGATGAGACCTTAAGAAAGTAACTGCATCGTACTGACTATATGGAAAGTATAGAATAGGGTGCAAATAAATGACATCTCTTAGGAATACTAACCAGGTAAGGGCAATATGATTTTCCGTAAAAAGCCATCCATCTCTGGAACTCCATGTCAAGTCTGGAAGCACATATCGCGGGATACTCTGCTTTCTCAACTCCGTAGCAAAACTTCGCTTCGCTGCAAGCAGCCACTTGAAGAACGACTTGTCCCACTCCTATCAAACAGAGGGTTTAGTCTTCATCGCATGACATACCGCTACCCAAATCAATGAAATGGTCTTCTGAAGTGATCTTCACCGTATCGATCATTTGTGAAATCAATTCAAATGAGGTCTCCCCGTACACCTGAGGAGAGAACGGTGGATACTGGTTCAATTTATCAGGCTCGGCAACAGCCCGATTGTAGCACTGACACAGTATAAACTTCACATGTTCACGAGAGGCTTTTCGACGGAGAAACTCAGGCTTTACTCCACACCTGTCCCACTGGAAAACGTCAAAAACGAGACGTATTTACCTGACGAATGAGTTGCATTATAGTCCTGTTGTACAAAGAGCATAAGTTGGAAACCTCTGTAAAAGAGCCTCTATCGACGTCATTTATAAGAGAAAGGAGCTCTCTATCTGAAGATAGCTCATCGACGTCCCCAACGATCCACCCAATTACATCCACGATTTCAGAATTCTCGTCCTTCACCTCTCCATCCTAAACATAACACATTTCAACAAATTACGATACCTTGCAGGGCAGCCAACTGAAATACTCCTTCGCTCCGGTAGCAGGACTAATTATGGGGAGAACCCGTTCGCACATACCACCGTAAATAGACAACCGGAGATCCTGTCATCGGCCAGAGGTGGGACTTCGTTTTCCGCGCCGATGCCGATGCTATTTTGAACACCAAGTTCAAACTAATTTGATAGGACCACAATCAAGTGAACTGATCACTCTGGTTCTATCACAGCTGGGTCGGAATCAAGGTTACCTAAGGATACCTAAGCTTGAGCGCCATGGGATTAATCTAAATTTTTTATTTAGTCCCCCTAATCCAAATTGCATCGTATTCACGTAGCAGAAAGCTTCTTAGTTCCTCCTTGTGACGCTTCTGACTTCAGAGGTATAGTGCGTGGGGGAAGCAATATGCAGTACGTTTTTCGAGCTCTGGATAAACGGGAGGTCATTTTCACTGATGAATAACATCCCAAATTCCGGAAGCTACTGGCAGCAATATGGGGAAATCCATTGTATCGGCTTTTTAGTTGCTCGCTTGACGAAAGTCGGTTGTCCGTGAAGTACAACCACTAATTTGTGAAGCCTATAAACAAACCAGGAGGACAAGAGCCCGGGCCAGTACTTTAATGTTTCTTGGACGTTGTGGTTGGAAAATAAACTGAACATGCTGTCGAATGCTCTCTTCATTGATAAACGCAGCGGATACAGGCGTGGGTACCTGAAATTAATATTCATGCAAGAACGACAACCCAATATCTGAGTAACGTCATACTTCGGCGTCGCCGTTGTCCATTTTGTAATGAATCTGGTTAGGTTTTATACCAAATGTCTCTATTGACATTACCGTCTGGAGTCAGCGGCATTCATTTCCGGCTTAGGAACTCTTCAAAACCTTCTTAAATGATCTGGCTCGCTAGCTTCTTGTAGCTATTTGTGTGCGGATGGCTAACAAGTATGTAGCGTGACAATTCGAAAAGAGGAAGAAGATTTTTTCTGGAAATGACGTGCCAGGTCATGCGTTGGAGATCCGATATCACGAAAGTAAAGTGGTACTCTTTTGAAGGAAACCATGGTGCAGTCAAGCAATTATGAATCAAATTCGATGGATTAGTTGTCTTTCATATTCAGTGCAACAAATCATCTTTAGCGCACCCGTAAAAAGTGCTGGAACCTCGCGGTGTGCGAAACCACTTCACATTAAATTATGCCTTCCTTATGCAGGACGGAATCGTCCCAATTTTCCAAATGATACATAGTCTTAGAAGTAAACTAACCCCGTTCTGCCTGAGAGGTAGCAACAGAAAATCTCGCAAAGCACTCAGTAACGGTATCTGTATTCTTCAGAAATAACCATGTTAGCATGCTTTTTGTCCCAACCACCTCATTCCGTTACCCTTCGTATGGCGCAACTATTAACCGTTCCTGTTAAATTCGCCTATAGAGAAAGGCCTTTGCGAATTTCGCATGCGATAGGCCCTCTTAGTACAAACAATTAACTTGATGAAAATATCGTTATGCCTGGCCAAAAATTTGTATTTTTCAGAACTGTTCTTGGAAAGAAAAACGTTCGTTGGTTTGCACTTAACTACAAAATTGGCCTCACTTCCGCTGGACGTATTTTTATTTGCTTCACTAGCGTTTTGAGCGTACTGGTATCTTGAAGGAAAGCGCTTTAATCACTAATTGCGCGGGGCCAGATAATCCAAGCCGGCCTCATGTGTAAAATATTCCCAGCAACCACGGGGGTGCCAGACACTTATACATTCATTGAATAGGCTATTGTTCGAAATTTCCTCTACCAACCATTCTTACGCGGGACAGTCTACAATACCGGTTTCTGTAGACAACAGATTTCCCACCTGGAGTGCGCGGAGCGTCAATTTGCCAAGTGTCACCAAGTGCCAAGTCTGTCACCCTATCAAAATACTACCCAAAGGAGCTCTGGTTCCGGAAAATAACTTTCAAGACACAGGACTATGTGCAGGTAACTCGCTCGCAACTTATCACAGCCATGAATTCATGGATTCAGGGGGCACTACATAGTTTCCAACTTTGCCTGGCCATCTATAATACGTTGTCCAAAGGCTTATGTACTTCCAAAAGACGAGAAATACGGGATAAACCGCCACTTTCAAAAGTTCTCAGCACCCAGGTGTTAGCGGGTCAGCGTAAAAAGATCTTGTAAAAAACACCCAAAAATTACTTAACCTGTGTTCTAACGAGGGTTGTTCAATTGAGTGAATTTTCAAGGTCAACGAACACACCGAACTTGAAACCAACACCTAATGAAACAACGTTGCATGGCATGTGATTAATGCACAAGCCAGAATTCAGATTGGTTAGTTGTGCACAAACCAGGAAGCGCGAGCGTTCAAAAAAACGAGTTAAATGGTTAAAACGCATAAGCCAAAGAAAGATGAATGATCAATGCAAGCGAGAAAAAGGTATGGACCAATTTAAATAATTCATTCCAGGAGACCTAGGACTCTTCTCGAAATATGTGAAACTGGGCGTTTATAAAATAAGCATTCTCAAAATCGCAAAACATACCACGCACCTTATCGTATCCATCGGCCTGCCTTTCTCAACACACTCATTTTCTGTCTACCCACATCACTTCTTCCAATAAAAGCTTGGCAGGAACTCGCCATTTTTGTTTTTTCGAAATCTCGATTCACACTTAACTACACGCATACGTACTTAAGGCTTTTTGCACTCGGGACATTAGGTTGCTTGCACCTAAGTTAATCATATTTTTTGTGCCATATATGCCGCTGCAAATGCGTGTTAACCAAGGAAGTCGACAAGTAGATGACGGATGACGGATGAACCGCGAACCAGCAAGCCTGCCCGCGAGCTTAACCCAAACGGAGCCATGGTCAAACGGCGGCCTATTCGCCAGAAGCCGGCGACTGTAGCGTCTGGCTTAAACAAACCGTGGATAGAGCCGTGTCCCCCTAAAATCACATACTGACAGTTCGCTTGCTAGTGCTGGCATTCTGGCATTTGGGCGAGGGTCGTAGCCCGCCATCATGACACCAAGGCATGTCCTGTCGCTTCTGGGCCCCCATGCCTTCAGGACATTCCCACACCCTTGGAAAACTGTATCCCGACGCCGTCGTCAGCTGTCCCGTCGGATGCCGGTTAACCAAAAGCAGATCCGGGGAGCCAACTACACCGGCATCCATTCTATATCTCCAAAGACGTAAAGAGGCATCGCCCTCTTTGCTCGATGGGTCATGGCAGGATCTGTACGAAGGTAAGTCCGGAATGACTCTGGACACCGAGCAATATTGAAAACAGGTGGTCTCTTCTCCAAAACGCGTGGGAATCCGGCCAAGTCGCATTATAACACCATCCGAGTGGTTGGTAATTGAGCAGGTTACAAGAGTGGAATTCGGCCGTACGATCCGCTCAATGGAACATTCGTCCCCAGGCCTGGACAAGCTCACACCCAGGATGCTCCGCCGGCTCAATGCTAACACACCCGCTGTATATTTCAACTTACATTACCTGTGGGTGGTCCCCCACATCTATGTCGAGCCTGCATAACTCTAGTTCCGAAGGTCCCACATCCGACTTCTTTAGATCAACTGGGACCAAGCTCCGTGTCATCCATTCTTGTCCGTTGCTTCCATAATGTGCTTGCTGATCGCTGGAGTCGTAGATTGCAACTGCCCTCTCTTCAGTTTGCATTTCTGAATCGAGACGGCTGTTTGGAAGCCACATCGTGGTTGCTTGCCCTGCTTCGTCACTCTTCAGCGACTACTTCTAACTTCAGCTTGGCGTTTGTCGATATCTCGAAGGCGTTTGATTCGGTTTCGCATAACACAATCGTCAGATCTACAAAGACGTTTGGAGCTCCGTCACATCTAGTTCGATATATCGCACAATTCCATGAAATTGCTGTATCAGTTTTCCCCAGTTCCGGGGTTCACTGCCACAGAGTTGTGAGGCAAGGGGATCCACTCTTCCTATTATTATTCATCATGGCAATGGATGAGGTTCTTCGATTGTCGACGCCGCAACTGGGATACCAGTTCCATGACACCGTAGTAGATGATTTTGCTTTCACTGGCGACTGGGTCGTGTGTGCACAAAGTCAGGCACGCCTTAAAGAGAAGCTTGAAGCTGTTTCGGTCGAGTTGGGAAGAGCTGGCATGAAAATAAATCCCGAAAGACGAAAGTGATGGTTGCTTGTAGGGGCAGGAAACATCGGGCGACAACAGTCCTAATCGAACCATTTTTATTCGCCGAGGAGTTAACCACTCCTCTGGGTCCGACAGACACCGTAACATATTTTGGCATTCCCTTCACTTCCATGGGGAAAGAAGTCTTTAACCACCGAAAGCACCTGTTCAAACTGTTCAAAGAAGTGAGGCGTGCCCCGTTGAAGCCGCATCAAAGAATGGAGATCACGAGGAACTACCTGATACCAAGGCCAAGTTCGCCGGAACACGCTCAAAAGACTGGACAACTACATCAGGCAATATATTCGTGGCTGGCTACGTCTACCGAAGGACACTCTGACCAGCTACATCCACGCCGGTAAACAACATGGGGAACTGGATATCCCAAGCCTGAGTGCAACAATCCCGATGCAGCGGAAAACGCGTATGGGAAAGCTCCCTTCTATTCAGTGCCGAGTGCTACGCAACGTGGTCAACGAATCCGGGATCTCAGCCTTCAGATCCGAGTCCATGGTGCGTGCGTAAACACCAAGGAATAACTGGTGGCTGCTTGGGCTGATAGTCTGCACAATAGCGTTGACGGTCGTGGTTTACGAGAGTTGGTCGCTTCGCCTCTCTCAAACCAATGGCTCATATTTCTAGAACGAGTGTTTCCACGGATATTTATCCGCGGTATCCAGCTCCGATGCAACCTGCTCATTACGACAGTCAGAAGCGCTAGGCATGGTCATGGTGGCCAGACGATCTTATGTCTTGGAAACTGTGGCCAACCTGAGAGTTTCGTGCATATTTTGCAATTCTGCTGGATCCCGCATGACGCTAGATGTGTTAGTCAAAATTGGGTAGCAAAGGGACTCACAAAACGTCTCCGTCGACTGGGATGCAGCGTCTTTGAGAGGATGAGAGCACCTACTTCGGCGTCATCGTCAGATCTACAAAGACGTTTGGAGCTCCGTCACATCTAGTTCGATATATCGCACAATTCCATGAAATTGCTGTATCAGTTTTCCCCAGTTCCGGGGTTCACTGCCACAGAGTTGTGAGGCAAGGGGATCCACTCTTCCTATTATTATTCATCATGGCAATGGATGAGGTTCTTCGATTGTCGACGCCGCAACTGGGATACCAGTTCCATGACACCGTAGTAGATGATTTTGCTTTCACTGGCGACTGGGTCGTGTGTGCACAAAGTCAGGCACGCCTTAAAGAGAAGCTTGAAGCTGTTTCGGTCGAGTTGGGAAGAGCTGGCATGAAAATAAATCCCGACGAACGAAAGTGATGGTTGCTTGTAGGGGCAGGAAACATCGGGCGACAACAGTCTTAGTCGAACCATTTTTATTCGCCGAGGAACCACTCCTCAATAAATCCCGAAAGACGAAAGTGATGGTTGCTTGTAGGGGCAGGAAACATCGGGCGACAACAGTCCTAATCGAACCATTTTTATTCGCCGAGGAGTTAACCACTCCTCTGGGTCCGACAGACACCGTAACATATTTTGGCATTCCCTTCACTTCCATGGGGAAAGAAGTCTTTAACCACCGAAAGCACCTGTTCAAACTGTTCAAAGAAGTGAGGCGTGCCCCGTTGAAGCCGCATCAAAGAATGGAGATCACGAGGAACTACCTGATACCAAGGCCAAGTTCGCCGGAACACGCTCAAAAGACTGGACAACTACATCAGGCAATATATTCGTGGCTGGCTACGTCTACCGAAGGACACTCTGACCAGCTACATCCACGCCGGTAAACAACATGGGGAACTGGATATCCCAAGCCTGAGTGCAACAATCCCGATGCAGCGGAAAACGCGTATGGAAAAGCTCCTTTCTATTCAGTGCCGAGTGCTACGCAACGTGGTCAACGAATCCGGGATCTCAGCCTTCAGATCCGAGTCCATGGTGCGTGCGTAAACACCAAGGAATAACTGGTGGCTGCTTGGGCTGATAGTCTGCACAATAGCGTTGACGGTCGTGGTTTACGAGAGTTGGTCGCTTCGCCTCTCTCAAACCAATGGCTCATATTTCTAGAACGAGTGTTTCCACGGATATTTATCCGCGGTATCCAGCTCCGATGCAACCTGCTCATTACGACAGTCAGAAGCGCTAGGCATGGTCATGGTGGCCAGACGATCTTATGTCTTGGAAACTGTGGCCAACCTGAGAGTTTCGTGCATATTTTGCAATTCTGCTGGATCCCGCATGACGCTAGATGTGTTAGTCAAAATTGGGTAGCAAAGGGACTCACAAAACGTCTCCGTCGACTGGGATGCAGCGTCTTTGAGAGGATGAGAGCACCTACTTCGGCGTCCTTCAGCAAACCTGGCCTAATCGCTGTTCGAGATCGCCGTGCAACTGTAGTAGACGTCAGCATAGTCTCGGATGTGCGTGGAGTGACAGGGTGGAATGAGAAGCAGAAGTATGGTGAAGTATGATGAATATTCCCTCGCCATAATCTCAGTTGTACGTGCTATTGGTTGTGATCTCAACGTTTTGGTCCGCCAACCGATGACCATCTCTTATTGATGGATCTGCTCTCCTAAACGCACCAAGGCTGTTATTCGACTGAGACTTCCTAAGGTCACAGTCGGTGACTTGTGTTTGCTCGCCATTGTGGGCTCTCTGCGTACTTACGAAGCTTCCACGTACTATGTACTAAGTGCACATTCTTGCCATTGAATCTTACACCAGACCCAGTGCGACGGACACCTCGTGCCTGATGTGCGAGTCTCGACTGTGTGTTAGAGCTTACCGTGCCTTGAAGAGCACTCAGCGTTGTTTGGCCTTTCTTCGGTTGTTGGCCTTTACACGCGTATTTCCATATCGAAGTTCTTGCATACGTTGAGATTCATCCCGTCTGACTGGAACTATAGGTGGCATGAATTCGAATTAGACGTTCCTCTCTTTTGTCTCATATTCTCCTGTCACCCTTTCACTTTCGTTAGCTGCACTCACGCTTTATGTCTGTTGCCATGCTCTTCAGTTATAAAAGATAGAAATGCGGACATGGAGACAGAGAAGGAGTAAGGCATTACTGTGTCGAGGTCCAGTTGTTCTGCATCGAAATGTGCTTGGGTGTCATCAGTGAACTGCACAGTGACAGAACTACTGGCCACTCATGTGATAAACAGTGAAAACATCACACTTTGATCGAGTGCGTTACATCGCTGTTTTTCATTCACTTTCGTTCGTTTTATAAGATGGACTATCAGCTTAATGTCTCCTCAGCGGAAATACTCACATACTCCAGAATCCAGTCGAATAGTCGCAATTTATATGGTCACCCGGTTTACACTTTGAGGTTCTCCTACGTCCAATCCATCTTCGGCTGCTTGTCACCTTACGAGGTCTGTTATAGGTGGAACCTAATTTGGACGGTCAATATAAATGAACTTCCGCATTTCTCTCAAACCACTACAACAGGTTGGACAACAGGACAGTGCCGGCCTTTGCGGTCTTGCTCACACAGGGGTACATTGCATCACCAAAAAACGAACCTATTTATTTAAACTTTTTAAGCCTGTGTTATGGCGTTCACGGGGTAAATGGCTTGGAGACGAGAGCCGTTTAATGAACCTTCAAATAAACCGGTGTCTCTAGAGGAACTTACTACGTACTTAGAAAACCGACAGAGAGTACCTAGGTAGTTACTTTGTTCCGTTTACCACTTCTTGTCATCTGAAACAACAAATGAAAAAACCGCACGTGAAGGAAAGCCTAATTTAGTTTACCGGATCGTCAATCGCATTCACTTTTTATGTTTGTGACGAAGCTCTTAAAAATAAATGGCAAATATCCACAAGCAAAATCCCTCATGACGCCCTTCGAGCGGCCGTTATCAGTAGGACAGGAAATTTCAAAAACAAGATGCCGAGCGGTTTATCCACCAAAGCCGAACTTGGTGACAGGTCGCCGTCACCACTGCTTCACGTATGCTCATTCCCTTCTGTGGCCGTAAGCTGGTGGTGGAAATCATGGCACAACTATGGCTCAACAAACATCCACCCTCCACGTCTCGTGTCATCGGGACTTTCTTTGATGATCACAGCTTGGAGCGGCTAGCTCAAATAGCGGACCTACCCCTGTCACCCGTTCTCCGAATCCCGCCCTACACCCATTACCCCAACAGATTCCGATCCACTACTTCCCAACATCTCACAACTACAAACTAGATTTGACACTTTGACCGGTCGTCTACAACGGTTGAAGATCAACAGACATCGACCACGTTCACGATCCAGAACGTTGGCTCTTGCCCGTCCCTCTTGTCACCAATCTTATGGCCCAAAAGCACGCAAGTATCAACCACCTGGTTCCTTCAAACCACGTCTCAACTCCCATTTAAACATCTCGGCCGGTTGGTAACGGCGACGACTTTCTGGGGCCCTCCTCGCAGTAGTCGCCTATTCCACATCACCGATCGTTTAAGTGTTCTACGTTTCCACGTAGATACGGGAGCTGAAGTCAGCGTGCTACCACATACGAATCCACTTCCTGATTCTGCTTCTTCTTTCTTACAAGCCACTAACGGTACCCGCATCGCT